TGCTTTGATCGTGGAGAACTTCGATCTGGCTCGGTCCAGCTAATCCCTGTGAGATCGACTGGCCATGTTCAAGGGGGAGAACCTGGTGTTTTCTCTGACTTGGTTCTGGGGTGGATTACAGACCTTCATGGTTTGGAGGAAGTGCTGGCAGTGATTACGGGGTACAGCAGCAACCTGACTGGACTCTTGAAATACAGTTTTGAGTTCCACTAAAAAAACAAACCACCCACTCCGCAAAACCTACAGTGGGTTTAAACATCTGCTGCATTTGGCACTGTGAGAGTAGTTTTTATGGATCATGGATGCTGTTCGGCATCATACTGATGTAATTATTATCTGAGAAAGTGTTGTATTTCACATACACACACAAATCTCAAAAATATTCCCCAAAATCTTCAGGTTGACATTCAGCAGCAGGCATAAAGATCTCTTTAATATTTCAGTTGTGTCTCATAAACTGCAAAGATCAAGTAGAGAGAAAGTTTAATTTAATTTTTTTTTATTTTGAAAAGATTTTTGCTTCTCCCGGGGAAAAAAAAGTTCTTTCTGGAGTTAAGAAAACAAAAATGTCAAAAATGTCTCAAACAGTGCTTATTTACCAAGACACCAAGCCTGCAATCAAAATATAAACTCAAACGTTCCTCATTACTTTCATTGTATGCGAATAAATGTGCTAAAGTCTTTAAAGGGGTCATATGATGCGATTTCAATTTTTCCTTTCTCTTTGGAGTGTTACAAGCTCTTGGTGCATAAAGAAGATCTGTAAAGTTGCAAAGACTAAAGTCTCAAATTCAAAGAGATATTCTTTATAAAAGTTAAGAGTCAGCCACACCTACCTAAAACGGCTCGTTCTAACACGCCCCCACATATCTACATCACTATCTGGGAACATTTGCATAACGCCGCCCAAATTTCTTCGCACGCAAAGAAAGAAGGCGTAACTTTTATTCTCGCTGTAGTATTGTTGCGGCCGCCATGTCATGAAGGCGCTGTGTGTTTCATTGTGAAAGCGAAACTACTTTGTTTGGCCTTCCAAAAGAGGACGTTATCTGCTTCGTCATGCCTGGAGCTGATCCGTGCTGGTCGCTGAGGAAATACAACAACTTTGCGCTGTACTAATGTACAGTATGTGGAAAATAATGTGTTTTTTGAACCTTAAACCGCATAAACACATTTCATTACACCAACTACACAAAATAATGTTCTTTTTGGCAACATCATATGACTCCTTTAAAGTCTAAGTAAGACCAATCCCAGCTGGCACTTGATGTCAAAGTAACATCCAGTAAGTCTTTGGACACCAAAAGTGGGGAAAATGGTAAAGAATTTTTCAAGTTCCAACGTCCAAAATGAAAATGGAGTTGACGTCAAAATCTAATGTTTGCTTGCCATCAAGCTTTAACATAACATTGTTGTTACATCAAGCTCCAACTTAGGACAAGCGTTGAATTTTAGGCACTTAATACCACAACTTGAATTTGACATTGTGGATCTTAATCTCACAACTTTTAGCAGACATTGGGTTTTGATTACCACACCTTGTGACTCAATGTCAGTAACTGATGTCAATATGATATCGGCATGACAAGTTTGGAAGATGCTGAATTTTGGATACATGACTGAAAACCAACAAAATATCATTATCTAATGATGTTATAATTTGTGTGGACATTAGTCTGATATTTAGCAGACACTGAGTTTCGGTTACTTAATACCACATCTTAAAACCAACAAAATGTCAAGTCGTCATATTCAATGCCAAATTGACGTTGACATTGTCCTGACATTGAATTTTGGACACCCGATATCAGAACCTATATTTAACCAAATATCAACATATTATAACATTGGTGGCCTGCTGGGATACTTGTTCAAAACCCAGTTTATTCAAAGCCCTGCAAAAGCTTCAAGCTGTAATACAGCAGCAAACCATTGCCTCTGCATAAAAATGTAACCTATCAACATTTCATACCAATGAAAAGAGCAGGTATTTAAGACTAACCATTACTTGCTGTTAGACCTTCAGCTGTAAAAACCAGAAATTAATGGTTCATAAAGCACTGGACCATGTCGTTGTGAATCCAAATAGTTTCAACCTATAAACAGCTCTGACTTACATTGACTGTCAACAATCCTCTATTGTTGTAAGCAGCTATCAGGTCACAGTCTTTAAAGCCGCAATATATTATTCACAGTCATTTCCAACAAGAAGTAATCTGTGCTCCCCAAACGAGCACACCAAATCCTACAGAGACATGCATGTTCAGTTCTCCCATCGCTGAGCTGTATTCATATCTGCCCTAGTGACACCATTACACCCTGGCGTCGAGACAAAGCCTGCCGCTGGACAGGAGGGAGTGCCATTTACAGTAGCACGCCGGCTGAATTGAGCCGACGTCAGCAACCCCTTCCCGTTTATTCCTATCAGTCCGTAGTGAAAAAGCGACCTCTTTATATGATAATGCCTTGCTCACCTGAGAGGCATAGAAAGAGCGTTAAACGTGAAATATGTATGAAGCTCACGCCCATAACGTGTTGCTGCCGTGGCAACAGTGCTCTGTTGGAAATGGGAGCTGTGTGTGCATGGGATGGAAATGAACATGCTTCTGTTCAGCGGGTGTAATCTAAAGACTAAACCCAGGGGACGTTCACAATGCAGCAATTCCCACAGCACAAGTTCGGTGAGCTACTGTTCCAGTATTCTGCATTCCATTTACAGTTGGATGTGGGATATTCCTACTTCAAATGGCAATAGAAGAATCATTTTGGGTTCCAAAAGAACCTTTCAGTGAGCCGTTCTTAAAAGAACCATTTTTTTAAGGGAAAGAAGATTTTAATAATCTGAAGGATCTTTTTCCATAATAAAGAACCTTCCCTCTTAAAAATAAAGGTTCTTTATTGGCATCTATGGCTGAAGGTTCTTTGGGGAACCCAATGTGGTTCTTTTATGGTATCACTGTATTTTTTGTGCAATGGAAAGGTTCCATGGATGTTAAAGGTTCTTCATGGAACCATAGATGTAAATAAAGAACCTTTATTTTTAAGAGTAATGCTAACATTTATTCTGCATGTATAAGATCATCAAAAGAGCATAATTTACCATGTTTTAAACACTTGACTCTGCAAATGTTTGCTATACAGTTTTTAGCATCAAACAATGTAGGAACTCTGAGTTTTATAAGTCAGTGTTCATCACTTCTCTCTACTCTATTGCACTTTTTTTTTTAAAGGAAATTAGAACATTTTACTTCCAGAGTCCAATGGAACGCAGCATACTGCAAGATCTCCAGATGGATCGTATATCAGAATGAGGTTTTACACTTCAGTTCATGTCACAACACTGCTCACTAATCACCATGTGGGTGAAGATCCTGCAGAGAAAAGCCCAAACACTCAGCAACGTCTCCTTTAAAATTGCCTCCAGCTTAAAGAGCGCTCTCATGGCCACCCTGCTCTCCAGTGATCCCCTCTCCTTCCCATCAGCCCCTCCTCCTCCAGCTCATTTTAATGGGCACCTCCAGGTCACTTGCAGCTGGCAGAACTGGCCATAAAATCTGGAGACCAACAGCAGGTCTGAAACACGAGCCACGGCCACACCAGATCAATGGTGCTCTTTAAAAACAGCAAAATGCAACTTTTTAGTAATAATGATATCAACTTAGACACAGCCCATGATAAGGAGATCTAAATGCAGATGGGATGTTTTGGACTACTGAGGGCCAAATGTTTTTTTTTAGTTTTTTTTTTTAAAGGATAAATGGTGCAATTATTGAAATGAAGAACATAATAGATGCCATATGTTTGTGTTCCTTTAATTGAAAGCATTGCAACTGTGATCACGTTATAGTTCGCAACATCTTAACACAAACAGACAAGCTACATAGTATATATATATATATATAGCAATACAAAGAAATTATAGCATGGTATCAAATATTGTACTGATACTGAATCTCCATATCACATTGTTTGTGAAAGCACAGCGCCCCCTGTTCTTCTTAATGGATATTTATTGAATTAGACAAACTTTGCTTTGGTTTCCATGGGGCGCAAACAAAACCATTGATCAATAATATAAAAAGGTAGGGTTTATCCGTATAAACCATTTCTTTCTATGTGTAAATCATACTGCTTTGTCTGCTTATACACAGCCCCCGGTATTAGACGCTGAAAATGAAATGAGCACACAGCGAAATTTGATATTTACGCACACGTGCATCCAATTACGCACTGCATATTTAGCTATATATATACTTTGTGCTTATGGTTTGAGCTCTTGTGGAATCCACACCAAGTTCTGGTGCAGTAGCCTACTACCAGGTGCTCCAAGCCAAAACCGAAAAACTAATCATAAGGGATAATTAATCATAAATGCGCTTCTCTGAGCGCTCATCATGCTCGCCACCAAAGCCACATCATGGTATGACGTGTTTCTTTACACAATCTGTTTCACTTTACACTCTTCTTAAACCAAAGGAAAAAGCTGTTAGTCAGCAATTAATTTCGCCCCCTTTGGCCAGTTTGATCATGATCACAGACTCCTGGAAGCGCGCTGGAATAATAGCGATAGTGGATCTGCAACACGCTGCAGTGCTACTCCGCCCCTCGTGCAACACTTCTGTGTGTTTTCAAACAGTTTAATGCAAAATTGCTTTTTTTTTCTTTCTCTTTATCTATTTTATTCTTTATTTTGTAAGTTGCGATATGTTTTGCTAACGAGAAGTGAGAACAACCATACTATGATAGAAGGGAATTAATCGATAAAAAGCAGTGCACGACACATTTAAATTTAATTCTAGTTTGAAATCTTCACGTTGTGCGTTTCTTGGTTAGCTACTCCAAGATTTCTTGTCCAAAATTACGCACTGCAACACCGGAGTTCATATATCACACTTCAGCATGGATATCCGATGTCATTTGTACAATATCTGCATGACGCATTACCATGTCAAAAACTGATTTCAAAATATGCTTATGCGACTTAGTATCTATCAGCCTACCTTGCTAGAGTAGGGTCCGGGAATGAGTAGTTTTAATGCCTGCCTCTTCAGCTCCACCAGCCGAGCGTTGCAGTTCTCGCACCAGATGCCCCGATCAGAACCAGGTGAGCTCCCGCTACCCGAGGCTGGAGAACCAGTGCCGAACCCTGGAGATCCGCCTAAGGAACCGGGCGAACCGGTGCTGATTCCAGGAGATATCGTAACAGGTGAGCCGGAGAAAGAGCCCGGGGATGATATTCCTGATCCGGGGGAAGGGGTTCCAGAGGACCCAGGCATGGAGCCCGCGCCTTCAGGCACCGGGCGACTGGCGCTCCGGGACTCCTCATAAGCCTTTCGGTACCAGGTTTCAGGAGAGAATGATGCTGACTTCGTAGGGGATGAATCGGTCATCTGCAAGAAATTATAGTTGAGGATGAAATGCAGTGATTGAAACATTAATGTCTGGGTTACAGATATGGTAAATGTGAAAAAGTATGCAAAGTGGTTTATTAATTTGCATACTGAGTTTGACATTGAAATAGATTGTTGTTTTTCCTCACTTAAAGATAATTTATTTCCCTGAATATGTGCATACCTTTACATAAAATAGCTATAATAAATATAAATTTAATAAATCTTACCCCATATTTTCTACTCCTGGTCCCAGATCTTTCTTTATTCCCTGTTAGAGAGGTCATGATAAAGCCTGATACAGAGGGACTGTTGAAATAACTGTGCTCCCTGTTACATCCACAACCAAAAGATCCAAAAAATCAATCTCTGGTCAGTTCAGTAGCCCTTCTGAAGTCCAGTCTCAGCGACTAGTACCATGCAGAAATCTATCCATCTTCCTCAGTGGAATATGTATAACAGATGGTCCAATCTGAAATGTCCAGCAGTGGATTATCCCGTTCTTTCTTATGCTCTCTGATATGCTGAATCCATGTGCAGTGCTTTAGATTTCACAGCATCCCAGCACAGGCGCATTTTCCCATGCATATGGACTTGTGTGAAGCGCAGGCTGACAGCAGATCAGGCTGTTGGAGGACTGATCTCTGCGCTGCTCTTACTCCAGAGGAGCGCACACATCTGTCTCTGGGTAGACTGGCCACGCCCCATCCGCGCCTCTCAGCGAATAGCATGTCCGAGACCTACTGACTGACATGTGGGAGTGTACAGTTGTCCACACGAGCGCAAGTTTTCATTATTAAGAGTCAATTTCGATATTATTATCGAATGACTTTCGGAAATTCTATCAGTGTTGTTCTGTTAGAAGTTCGTCTCACGCAACAAAGATGGTATTGAACTAAATATCAACTATATATGTACGTATATATTTTTATTTATATGTGCAAATATATAATAAATAATAACGACAACATTAATCTAACTTATGTGGTTGCTGAAAAAAGTTGTTTTAAAACGCATATAAACGTAAAAATGCACTTTTTTATTACGACCACCACACCCTATAATTCGCACCCTGCAATGGTGGTTCGAGAGTTTTATAGTTAAAACGCTAATGAAATCAATACAATGAATGACATGAAACTGTTTTGGAGCATAATAATAACAACAATATAATAATAATAATAATAATAATAATAATAATAGCAATACATAATAATAGCAATATTAAAAAATAAAATGGCAATAAAACATTTAAAATGGTATAATATAATTTTTTTTAATTAAAATATTATAAAGTGTGCCAGGTGAAATGCTCAAATGTCAAATGCTACAAAATATTCAATTGCTTACAAACATGTCATTTAAACCACTGAAGTATATACTTATTATGAAACCAACAAGAAACATTTGCATGGCAATATTTCTTAACTGACCAAATGTTGTTTTGAATTGGAATGAAAATAAATAGCCAGTATTGTTTTGGTTGTATTGTTAGTTCAGCAGGAATTTGAAGGGACATTTTATAAGCATGGGTAAGCAGCGCCACCTACTGCTCACAAATCTAAAATAAACACCCCATCTACAAGCCACTGCTTCACATGAGAGACTCTAAACAGTAAGAAATAAGCAAACGACCATCAGTTTTTATTCAAATGAAACAGTACTGCTTTATCAGTCATATTTAAGACAAGCTACACAGACATACTGTATATATAACCTTAGCATAAACAAATAGGAAACTGTCATAAACCTAAAAACTCAGTATTGCTCAGAATAGTAGTCAGTCTATCCTTTTTGGACCACTGAATCGTCACTTTATGATACATAAAAAAAGCTTATACAAACAGGAACGGCTGAGATGGTTATTGTAGCCTTTTCCAGTTTTTACAATATTGTACGCAATACTTAATGCACTATTTGGGGTTTCTCAGCTTACAGGAAAATACAGTATATTTAGTTTTTACACTATTCTCTAAGAGTAATGCATATCGTTGTTGTGTAAGGTATGTAGATAAAGTAAACTATAATTTCAACTATAATGTAAAATTAGTGTTTTTCTGATAAGTTCATTTTTTTAAAGCATATAATTTCATGAAATGTTAGATCATAGTTTGCCATGCCACCAGTATGCAACTTTTATGATTGCATTCTGTAAAGGCCATCATAAGTAATGTGCTTCTCTGGTCAGTTCACAGGGGGGCAGTTCTGTTCCCGGTCTCTCCCCCACACAAATGCACTCATGGGGCACAGGTTAATTAGGAAAAAATGAGCTGCAAGAATATGCCACCCCTTCACAAAACCTGTGGTATCAGAGTCTGCTAATGAAACTGACAGAAGAAAGTCACCACACACTGACTTTATAATGAGGCTCTCAGACACACACCTGGCCTTAGAAAACCTGCCTCATTAGCGAGAATGATTAATCAGTCTATGATACACCCTCTCAGTCTTGCACACATTCTCCACTTTAAAGAATTTTTATGAATAGGGTAAAATATCATACTGTGTAATTTTGCCAAACTACTTACTAAGCAAAGAGTATTAGGGCATTATGAACACCATTAATGATATATACCATGGTTAAAGAGTCAAAATAAAATGTACAGTATATTATTTCTTTATTATGGTAACTGAGATGATTTTGTTTATGATACCTTGATCCTAACGCTATAAAAATATTTATTTGTTCGATCTAATCATGCCGTCAGCCATCATCGAGTGTCATCAAAAGTCATCATGCTCACAAAGTCCTTGTAGAGAATGACATTTTTATCAGGATCAACAGCTGCAGACAGCATTTCATCCATCTCTTCCTGTGTGAAGGGCTCTCCTTCAAAAGAAAGAAAGAAAAATTAAAAACTTCTGAATTACTGAACTTGACATCTTTGTGGATTCCTTGTATTGTTAAATCGTCTGACAAATGAGCATTGCACACTGATTTCAAAATATTAGAAGCCTATAGTAAAATACAAACCACTATTTCCAATAGTTACACATGAACATACCTTCTTGTGTTAAATATTTGGTCAGTTCCTCTGGTTCCAAGTGTCCTTTTTTCTGTTGATCTAACTAACACCTTTAAAAAGAAATAACAGCACCATTACATTAATTCATTCCATTGGTCTAAGGTCTTCATCTTTATATACAAATTAAAGTTTTTGAAGTTTTTTTCTCTGTAGTGCATTCAAGGTCAATTCAAACAACAAAACAAGAATAGCAAAAATATTTAGTTGTCAGAGCATTAGGCACCTCAAAGGCCTGAAGGAGCAGGTCTTCTGTTATAGGACGGAAACTGCAATAAAAAAGAAACAGAGCTAAAATTGTCACCAATGGACTTTTCAATCAAAAATTTATAATGTGGTTCATCTAGGTTCCACATCTTAAAACACTTTATTGCAGCATATAATCATTGCTGTTAATAGTGTTCATCGTTTGTTTGATTACGTCATTAACTGAATTTTACCGTACATTTCTGCCATATGTACATCAATTTGACAGTCACCACTGATAAGATACTACTAAATATATTGTAGAAACTGCATCGTGAAAAGCGCTATACAAATAAACTTGAATTGAATTGAATTGAACTTTATTTAAGAATTTTTAGCATATTTTTGGGCATATCTGATCTTGTCCCGTGCATGTTTTCGGATGTAAAAGTTTTAAATGTGTTAAAAGTTGTAAATTGTTTGTTAAATGTGCACACTGACAAGGTGCTCTATGACCAGTGTTATTTTATAATTATTTTTAGTGTTTTTTTGAACATTAAAGCATGTCAACATATTCTGTTACACCAAATACACAAAATAATGATCTTTAAAATAGCATCATATGACCCCTTTAAAGTATTTCTAATATTTCCAATTAACTTTTAGTTTAAAATTTAGTTGAAGTTTTAGTATTTTTAATGTGCATTTGCACATTTTTAATCATTTTTTTTTAAATATTTTTATTTAACTTTAATGTATTTTTAGTTTAGTAATTTTAGTACTTCAACTTTTTTATTTTATTTAGTTGTCAAGGCAAGTTTTTTCATTCAAGTTCTCTTTTTTATCTAATGCTTACTTTATTTTAGTTTCAGCTTTATTTCTATTACCAAAATGATTTTTAGCAGTTTTCGTTTCAATGAACAATAACAACTCGATCAGTTGTTAGTTGTTACAGTAAAAAAAAAAAAAAAAGTATATATCAGAATTCTCTGTGATCACATGATTGTAATTTATGAAATAATTTACATTTTAAATAGCAAAATGGCCATATTAGACATAACACCATTTAGAAAAAAATAATAATTTCCATTAAAAACAATCTGTTTTGGCAGGGATGTCTAATTATTTGTAATTTTGCAGAAAGCTCAAGATTATTATAATTTATCCAATTGATCCTAATCACTTCACTCCAGGGGCGGATCTAGAAAATAATTTTTAGGGTGGCATGGGGTCTATGAGGGGTGGCAACACCAAAGCAAGCCCCCATGCATAGTTTTTGGGGATTTATGGTCTGACATACACAGTTTTGTTCACAAATGTTGTATTACCAATAAGTAATCATCTATACAGTTTAAAATGAAAAATAAATAACAACGTTTCAATATTCATCATGGCACCAAGTCAATGCACGATATAAAAAACTTCAACAGGTTATAAATGTTTCTGCGGGCGCACTAACAAGGAGGCTAGAAAAAAAGACTGCAGCCTCTAGCGTCAGTCGCTAGTGCGTCTCTTGAGATCAGGGGAGTGAGGTTTACCTGCACAGCACCTACTCGCTGGCCTCCGTTACATATGGTTTTGCAGATTTGGTGTGTGGTTCTGGTGTTTGAGTGTCAGGTTTCAGAAACTGTGTGACAAGTAAAGATTTTGTGTGCAAACAGTTGAAAAAACTGTAAATGCTTACACACAATTCAAATACACAGATGTATTTGCCTGCCCAGTGAACACTGAGATCAATAACACTATAAAAAAAAAAAAACTCTTACTAGGATTCAGGAATTATTTTTGCAGCTCAATGTCTATTACAGTATACATAAATTAACTTACAGATACAGATGCATAATTCAGCAATGAACTTTTGGGAAAAAATTATTTTCATTTTACTACTGTAAAGTATTCTTGCAGTAGATGAAAAGCACTAGAAAAGTTCAAATACCAACGAATTGTATGAACGTGGCATGCACCACAATACTGTACAGTAAAAAATAAAATTTCATAAAATAAAAAATAAAATAGCATCATCTGCACATTTGGCCAAATTTCATTACAGTATACAGTACTATAGCAGTTTCTTGGTCTCCTGACACAAGACTAGCTATATCTCAAAGGCAGTCATTTCTCAGTTCTGCAAAAATGCAGTACACATAAAAAATGGTTACAAATCAAATTTGACAGTCACACGCTTGAAGGTGTACAACATGTGCTACAGTTTACTGTACATATAGAATAGTGAAATTATCATTATCTAATGTACTGGTACTCTACTGTAATAATACACTGTATGTGTAAGTATAAAACCCCTGTAGATGATTGGCTCAGCTCGAGCTCTCTCCGTTTGTTAGCGTGCAGAGATTCTAATTGGTGTGTCATCAGTTTTGCTACCTAATGTTTAAATACCCATTGTTA